GTGGTGGTTACCATCAAATAGAGAGTGTCACATTTGGAGGTGTAAATTACAAGTGGGAAAAACAAGAGAGAGAATTGGCAGTTTTGCCAATTTGCCAGCCTGTGTGCCTCCTGGTTAAACAATGGGGAATGTGAGAAAAGGATTAAAATTTGAATTTAAAGACACATTTTTCTTCCCTGGGAAAGAGAATGTGATGGCACATGAAATCAGTTCAAAAGAAGCCTGTAATGTTTTCCTTCTCATAAAAAAAAGAAGAAGAAGAAGAAGAAGAAAGCAAATTACTCCAACCAAGTATAACTGAATCAAATATGAACTTCCTGAAAATTTATCAGTTGATAAACCAGGATTTAAGTTCAAGGATACATTCCGTGCCTAATCTTCATTTTACAACTTTTGGAGATAAATTTTCCTTTGCACTGAAATCTTTCAGAGATAGCCTTTCTTGAAAAACAAATTGTTAGAAGTGTGTAGCAAATTGGCCAGATGTCTCTGGGGCATAAAAGCTGTCTTGGAAGAAAGGTAAGAACTTCTAGTAACTACCTCATGCTTTCATGCCATTAGTTTTCTATTTACTGCTCTGAAATAGTAACGTTCAAAGTATTTCTCTTGTTATCGAAAGAGTTAATACAGTTTCTCAAAAGTGCTTCTCTTCTCACAGAATATAGTTTATATTTTGGGAAAATTTGGCACAGCTTAAGTTACAGCTTCACTGATTTTCTCAGTAGAATCCAACAATAAGTCATTTCCCCTACCCATGTGTCCTATAGTGTTTATTAGCAGGGATAGACACAAAATGTCAAAAGAAGAAAAGGGTTATTCATATTAATCTGCTTTCTTCAAGACTTCACATCACGATACTTAAATAACAGCCTTTTCCACATCTTGCTCCCAAACTGGTAGCCATCCCTTATAGTGTTTATAAATACTCATTATCAACCCACTAGCCTTCCCAGCCTAAATGTATGTATTGCTGCAGGATAAATGGATTTAACTCTTGCTATCTAAAAAAATAACAATAAAACTAATTGCTAGGCACAAAAATCAGCTTGCGGCATGCAGCTAGTTTTGCTCCCTTCCAGGAATCATTATTTTTAAGTTGCAAGTCTTGAAAAAAATAGACAGACAACAGAAATCTATTCAGTTGTATGTATTACTATGTTTGTTACAATTCCCCAAACAGCATGACCTGCCTACCAGCTAAGGTATAGCAGGGAACCAGACGCTCTCCCTCCTCGCCAAAAAGAGTCTCTCCAAGAAGCAAAGTTTACTGCTTAATAGCCTGGCATGAGGTAAAGCCACAGTTCTGACTCTTAATTATAATCTCATTCCCAAGCTCAAATAAATAAATTAATTAATTATGGTTATTTTGCAGATAGCTCAAGGAGCCCCTCCCCACACACACACGTTTTACAAAGTATTGGTGAATGCCCATTTTCACATATCTCTTTTAGTCTAAAAATAACTTTAACTTTCATGTCTCACCAAGACTGAGAAAAGGGAGGGCAAATCAAAGAAAACTAGTTTGGGAATCAGTGGGGAAAAGTTTAACAGGCCTGCTGGGTGTTCTGTTAATGCTGTCTTGGATCTCAGATTAAATTATTATGCTTTCTGCATTGTACCACTGGGTCATTTGTGCATGAGGACAAAGGCAACTTCAACTTGATATTTCTGTCATCCCTGCTGTGGGAAGAGTCCTTTTCCTGGTTTATAACATCAATCACTCTCGCAATAAATCTTGGTGGTGGATATGGTCATTTAAATCTCCACCTGCACAAACAACAGAAAATAAGAGAGCTCATAAATCTCTACACTGGTGATTAACAAATTTTGAATCCTGGGCAAAGATATTATGGTGATGAAGGGGGAGAGGAGTTCACTAATTCATTAATAAAGACTGATTTGCTGACAATCTGTTTAGTTTACAGCATAGGGGGAAAGCAAACAAGACCCTGCTAACAAAACAAAACGTTAGAGGTTAGTGAATTCCCAGCTGAGCCCAGGATTAGAGATATGATATCTTAATGTAGGAGAGAGGTGCAGACTCCCAGCCAAAAGCTCAGATGCCACTCTTATACTTTGTTTCAACCCCTCATCTTCAACACCTAATTGCAAGGCAAGAAAACCTGGAGAAGCAGTAGTATAAAAGATTTGTGCAGTCTCTCTAACTTCATCTCATTGATTTCATTCAATTGCTTGTTCTGGTTCCCTTTGCTTTTCTGCTTACTCCCCTGATTTTCGTTTTTTCCAGCAAAGATGGTGCAGGCTGGGATTAGGAATGGAAAAGAACTTCTCCCAAAGGGATAATACTGCTTAGTGCTTTGTAATGTCAGCTTCACATGAGGAACCCTGGTAGCAAAGAGGATGGAAGGAGAGTGCAAAGGCAGCAGCACTGAGAGAGAGAAAAAACAACAAGTCCCAGGAGAGATGATGTCTGAGAGCAACTAAGATTCTTAAGACAATATCAAATGCATTTCTAGAAAGAAATGCAGGGGAAAGTTTTAATTCCATTAAGAAAAGGTTATCAACTAACAAAATTCTTTCCATCCACTCAGAGTACTCTATCTCATTACCCCCACTCCCACTAATCTGTGTGTGGTTGTGTGCGGGTGTGTAATGGTAGTGTGTTGTATATACACAGGCAGCTCCTTGATATCTTTAAAGTGACCAGGTGCAGGTGGATTTTTTTGGCGCTTTCTCTGCCATCACCCTAAGGATTCTATGAAGCACTTCTTTTCTTAATTCACCCCAGTTACAGTAAGTGGGAAGATAACTTGGTAAAGCCATAGTCTTACAGGGTGTTGGCAGGAGGCAGTTGATCTCTGCCTGCATTTTAATTGGTGCTTTCTTGGGGAGAAAGGAGACCAGGGAGATGCTTGTGAGATTTGTGGCTGGAAGGCCCAGAGAAACCAAAAGGATCTGGTCATTTTCCTCAAGTTCTCTACATACCACCAGCTATGACCTCTTAAGGCTGAAAGCAGGCCTTAGGAGCGGAGTCCAGGAGAGGGGCTGTGGGTGGGGTTTGCTCCTCCTTGGCTGGTATTTAAGTGTTGCAGTTGAGTTGATTTACATTACACGTTGGAATAGGGGCCTGGGCGTGAGAGTTTCCCTCCGGTTGTGAAAGGGGTCTAAGAGCGTTGCTGGAGCTTGGCAGGCCCCTCCCCTGGGCTGCAAGGATCCGCCTCTCTATTCCCCAGATAAATTCCTAGTGTCCACCAAATTCCTCAGCGCTCTCTCACACTCCACTACGGCCACGACTCCGGGGGTGGGGAAACAGCGTCGCTCTCCTTCCCAAAGAAGCCCTGGCGGTTCCTTCTCATAACTCTGCGAAGGGGAAAGGGGTGTGAGACCCAACCGGAACCCCAACTCCAACTCCTAACACGAGGTGGCTGCTCCACACTACACGCACTTGGAGGGCCCATTGGTTGTGTGGGTCTCTTTCTCCATTCTCTTTCTTCTCTCTCTCTCTCTCTCTCTCTCTCTCTCTCTCTCTCTCTCTCTCTCTCTCTCNGTGTGTGTGTGTGTGTGTGTGTGTGTGTGTGTGTGTGTGTGTGTGTGTGTGTGTGTGTGTGTGTGTGTTTCAGTTCAGCAGATTTTCCAAGCTCCCACTTCACGTTTTTACCAAACGCTCAAAATTCTGAGCACTGGACGCAAGCGGCCCCACAGAGAAGAAACTTCTGCGTGCTCATTCTCTGACAACCCCAAACTACAAACGGATATTTTTTTTAAGTCCTCATGTCTCCTACCTATAATTTGAAACTTTGCTTTAAGCATGAGGCATGAGGCTATGGATATAGCACGCGCGAGTTAAGCCCTACCTCTGGCTCCAGCTTTTTCCTAAAAAGGCCTGGGTCCTGTTTTCTTATCTCTGCAAATGGGGATAAAGGTAATAATAATCATAATAATAACCATACTCATTATTTTCCTCTTTTACCTCACAAAGCCTTAGTGAGGCTCAAATAAGATATTTGTACAATTGATTTGTAAAGGAAAAGATGCGTGCAAATATCGATAACTTTTATTAAGTGGTGGGAGATGAGCTGCCTCTGCTAGACCAGAACTGAAAGTGTCTCAGGCAGGAAGCTGAAAAGGGTGTATGTTTATAATGTACAGGCGATGGTCTTTATTGCACGAATCAAAACACCTCTCTTGGATGCAATGTTTAACATCACAATTTCTCTCTCTCTCTCTCTCTCTCTCTCTCTCTCTCTCTCTCTCTCCTCTCTCTCTCCCCAACCCCTTTCTCTCTACCCTTTCCCAATCCAATATTCTCCATATCTGTCCAGAGCTTTCTACAAACGTGACTATTTCCTAGAAATCTTAAATCCAGAAAAATTCAGAGAGCAAAAATGGGGCCTGGGACCAGCAAACAGAAGGGCTACACTGAGGTCTGACTCCTGGGAAGCCCCGCCCACAGGGGGTCTCCGCCTTGCAGCCGGGGTGCACTCTGGGCCACGCAGCTGTCCACTGAAAAGAGCAAGCAACACTGTGGGAATTACCAGGTTGTGGCTACCACTAGCCCCAATAATGTGACAACGGTATCCACAACCTTACACGGGCATCCACAGTCTAAACACCTCCCCTTCCCCATGAACCCGTCTCTGAAACCAGATCATCAGCACTCCCACACCACACCCACCACGCCCTTCCATGTGTCTGCTGTTCTCCAGGAGCCTGTCTGTCCCAGTAGAGCGCGACCTGACAGCTTACCGGCCCCCAGCCCAGGTACTTGGTGTGTTTCTATTTGAATAGGAGGCTAGCGGCTGCCTGAGAAGGAAAGGGGGGCCTCCATTGCCACAAGCCAATATAGTTAGGGATGAGGGGTGGAGAGTGTCCTGTTTGTGACCTTTTGGTTATGAAAATTATCTTAGATGGTGCTCCCAGAAAGAACCAGGAGAACATCTGAAACGGGCTGTAGAAGTTTGGAAAGAGAAGGAAATGCTTCGAATAAGTGTCTTCCAGTTCTCAGGAGTGGACAGATACTGAAACTGGACTGTAGCCTAGGAAGTCCCTTCGCTTTCTCTCTCTCTCTCTCTCTCTCTCTCTCTCTCTCTCCCTTCCCCCCACCTTTCTCTCTCTCATCCCGCAAACATGTCCACCGGCTCCCTCAGTGATGTGGAGGACCTTCAAGAGGTGGAGATGCTGGACTGCGATGGGCTGAAAATGGACTCGAACAAGGAGTTTGTGACTTCCAATGAGAGTACCGAGGAGAGCTCCAACTGCGAGACTGGGTCTCCCCAGAAAGGCCGCGGTGGCCTGGGCAAGAGGAGAAAGGCGCCCACCAAGAAGAGCCCCTTGAGCGGGGTCAGCCAGGAAGGGAAGCAAGTCCAGCGCAACGCGGCCAACGCGCGCGAGCGGGCCCGGATGCGGGTGCTGAGCAAGGCCTTCTCCAGGCTCAAGACCACCCTGCCCTGGGTGCCCCCGGACACCAAGCTCTCCAAGCTGGACACGCTGAGGCTGGCGTCCAGCTACATCGCCCACTTGAGGCAGATTCTGGCTAACGACAAATACGAGAACGGTTACATCCACCCGGTCAACCTGGTAAGTTCTCTGGTGTGGCTGCTGCGGTGCGGGCTCCCCTTCCCAGCGCGCCTGCGGTCCTGCCCGTGATTTGTGAGTGTGCACGCCTGGCTGGGACTGACGCACCTCGGCCACCACCAGCCGGGAGTCTCTAGGGACCATTGCAGGAGATCCCTACGCTGCCCTCACTCTCTGTCTTACAAGCCGCCAGAGCCGGGATGATTTATGCGAGTATTTAACGTGGCAGCCCAATTAGGAGTTTGCAAGTGTACTGAGCTGGCAAGGAGGAGGATCCCTGGCACCCGCGCCGTGAGGGCTAGCGTGGAGGGGCTGTGTGGGACCCGGAACCCTGACAAGATGCAGCGCGCAGAGGGGGCATTTTAATCCCCTTTTCTTTTAGCTAAAGAATAGAACTGCGTTTTCCCCTCTAATTTTTGTAAATAAAAACACCCAACTCTGTTTCTTCCCTAAATATATGTATAGGATATATATATATATATATGTATATATATATATATATATATATTCATATATGGACACATTCATGCCCCACGATGATTGTCATCTAAATCCCCAACTACTTAAATATTCTGCGTTTCTTCTATGGGTGGATTCACATTTTTGAATTCCAGAAGTTCCAGCAAATATCAGCATAACCAGTACATTCTCACGAGTATCAGTGTAATAAATAATATTTAAGAGGCCACTTTCATCCAAGCTTTAAGAACATTTTTTTAATCTTAAAAGATAGTGCTCATTGAGCCTCCTATTTTTCTCAAATGCATTTTACTGTTTAAGAAATATGTTTAATTCATTTTTCATTTGATTTAATTTTAAAACTTCCAGGCTGGAAAGAAAAACAACTTACTAACACCTCTGTTTATATATGATAAGAACGAGAGGTTTTCCTCTTAAAAGTCGTCTTATCGGCCAGCACTAGTGAGAGAGGTTTCAAGGTTTGAATCGTCTTCTCACTGAGTTAGTCTCAGGAATTGGAGGAAGGGGGTGTAAAATCACATTTTGCAGTGAAAAATTATTTTTTCCTCCAATTAAAAGTTCATTTTTTGAATGAGATGACTAAATAGTTGTGTTTTGTTTATTGTTTTTAAATCTGGAACTCAAATGAAAGTAGTGCCTTCATTTACAATTGCTGCTGCCTTCATCTTTGAATAAGAAACTTAAGTGAGCTTTATTATAAACATCACGAAGAAGGGAAGAGAGAGTGGTGCTTGCTCAGCCCAGCAGGAAGACGATCTTAAAGAAAATATGCGTGTATATTCTTTTATTAGCATTATTGTTTTTCTTTCGATTAATTTAGAAACTGGGCAAAGCCCGCATTTGTGATGGAGGAAACGAAAGTTGGCAGCGGGGAGATAGATGGGAATAGAAGCAAGACGTTCGGGAAACGCGACCACGGCCTTAAAAGTGGGGCTAGAAGGGCACTGTGCCCCAGACCCGGTGCCCAAGAGGTCCTTCTGGTTTTCCCTCCCTATTCAGTCGCACCGTGGCCTCGGCCTCTGGGCTGTGCACGAGCCACACTGGGCTTTCCAAGGGCCTCTTCACTTGGGTTTCACTGAGAACCCAAGAAGTGATCCCCTCTTTGCTCTACCACCCGGAGTGGTGACTTGGCGCCAACACTCCTTTTTGCTTTATCCAGCCACGAGGCTCACTGGGACCACGAGTAAATTGCAGAGATAATGGGTCTGTCCAGCTCACCGCCGGCCCCCGGGGCTCTCTGTCCTTAGGTCTCAGTCTGGGAGCCCACCCAACGCCTCCTCCACGGCCACTTACTTCCTCCACCCTCTTCTCTCCTGCAGACGTGGCCCTTTATGGTGGCCGGGAAGCCCGAAAGTGACCTGAAAGAAGTGGTGACCGCCAGCCGCTTATGTGGAACCACGGCGTCCTGACCTTGGAGGTGCGAGTCTGGGAAAGGCGCGCTCCCGGGGGGAGCGGGCCCCGGGAAGGCGACCCTTGCCCTCCCTGCTCTCTGTCTCTGCTTCCCCCTGCAAAGCTCCTCTCCCTGCCCCACCCCGCGAGAACACTTTACAGCGACGAGGAGATTCGTTTCCAAACCAGAAGAGATCGACTGTACTTACAAAGATTCCCATCTATTTAACTTTATTAACTTCTACCGTGAATGACTCTGCAAGCCTTGCTGGTCCAAGTGCAATATGTAATTATAAATATATGAATAGATAATAAGAGCCTATCAACGTGTATCTTTTGTACAATATGTTGTAAAATGTAGATCATAGAATAGCTGACTTTGACAGTCACATTTATAAAGTAATTCACTTAAAGATATATATTTTTTTTTCAAACAAATTTTGCTACTTTCGAAAATAAATCTTTCTTTATATTGCTAAAAGCCCTGACATTGGTGTGATTTAAAAAACAAAAAAATTACTTGGGATAGAAAAGTGGGGAACCATACTTTCCCCAGTATGATCATAACGGTGGTTCCTTGAACCTCAATCCAAACTTCTAGAGATAGAAAAAAATAAATACGATTTCCACCATGAAGATGCAGATCATATTTTGCACTGAAACTTAAAAAAAAAAACACCAAAAAAAAAACCCCTCTGGTTTCTCAGGTTTGCAAGTTACTTTTAAGACAATGAGAAATAATGTAATAGTAAACAAAGAAACGGCAGGATTATAATTATTAACAGCTACACAGTTCAGGAGGCAAGAGAGCATTCCAGAAAAGGAAAATCCGTATTTCACGTATTCCACAGTGTAGCTGCTGACAGGAGCAGGAAAGTAAACTCCGTGTTTTGTAACTTTCCAGGAGGGGACGTGAACCCAAACAATCGACGGTTGCGAACTAGTGAAAAAATAATGAGAACTATGAAAAAGTAAATTCCATAATCCTTAGGACGGATTTTCCGGTTTTCAAAGTGCCGCAACATACTTTTTGTATTTCTCATTAATAATTAATTAATTTTCACAACGCGCCTGCCCGCTTTCGGTTAAGGTTAGTTAGCCAGTGCATTCAGCTCCCCGCCACGACTTCCGGCGGACTGGGTTTTAATTTAAACATCTTCCAGGCTACGGAACAGCTCGTTGGGGGAAGATTAAGTTGAGATAAACAGAGAGGCGAGGCCGAGGAGCCTGGGACCGGGTTCCCTCGCTGCCCCAGTGCAGCCCGCGGCTGCCGATGCGCCAGATGCCACCGGGGCTGTTTAATGTTCGGGGTTATGACCGCAGTGTTTACAAGACGTCTTCGGTTATTTATACTGTTATTCCTCGCAGAGGGCCTTGAAACTTCCGCTTCATTTGCTCTTTCTTTTCGATTTTTTTTCTTTTCCTGGGCTCAGTTTGGTACCTGGAATAAGATCACCCGGGTTCCCTTTCCGTACTTACCTCCTACTAACCCCAAAGGCTGCTTGTCAAGATGAGGGAACCATTGTGCCCCCGGAACGATCTCTGCCAGTGATAGTTACCACGTTACCAAGAGCAATTCATTCTCCAAGAGTTAGTGACTTTGGGGACTCCTCATCCACCTGCCCTTCATGTGCAGGTCGGACGTCTCTGGGCGTCAGTCCACCTTCGCAAGCCCCCACCCCACACTTGACCTTCGAGAGTGCATTTTAAGCTCTGGACAACCTTCTTATTCCCCAAATTCGAATTTTCCCTCCCTCACTCCTATCCGAGACACTACCCTGGCCTCTAACGGTCCCGAGTTCAAGGCAGAAACGAGTCCCAGTGTGATTCAGTGTGTGTGTGTGTGTGTGTGTGTGTGTGTGTGTGTGTTATCAATTCTACAGCTATTACCTTTAAGTAGT